CTTGTTCTTTCTTCTTCCACCCTACCTTTATTTTTTCAGCAGTACTGGGGATTGAACCCAGGGCCATCACACTGAGCTCCACCCCCTCGAAACCTGCTTTCCCAAAAGTGTGTCTATGCATTCTGTGGGGAGATTATCGTTCTTCTTGATGTTCTTGACCCTGGGCACGAAGCTCAGCAAGGACTGGTGACTTGTTGCCGAGGAACTGCACACAGTGCAGATGGGCCCAGCAGGAAACCCCTAGCAGGAACCCAGCCAGGACTTTTGTGGCCTTCCCTCTTGGAAGAGGTCCATGACCAGGCTCAGAGGACTCCGCTCACCCAAGTTGAAGGCAGTAGATCCAGGAAATCTGATCCAAAAAATCTTTCCCTCACCAGCTGTCAGCACTTCTTGCTTTTGGGACACAAAGAAGATAGACCTTAGAGTGTTGGATCTTGGGTTTGAGTGAAACTGGTCATCCACAGGACCGAGAGGGGCTGTAAGAATCAGGTGGTTCTGCCCTGCAGAGAATCCACCATTGATTCTGTCACCAGGACACAGAGATTTGTACCAGGTTTGTAAGCCCAAAAGGTGCTGCCCATCCCACCCCTCCCAGCTCCACCATCTGACAGCAGGTGCCTCTCCTCACACCATTCCCAAGAAGTTCCTGCCCACAGAGGAGACTCAGAGAGGCACCTGCAGTGGAAAGTGAAGTCCTTTCCATCCCTGCTCCTGAAGAAGGGAAGCTCCTGAGTCTCGTGAGCCCCAGGCTGCGGGCCTCAGGCTCCTACACACCCTCACTCTGTCCTCTGGATCAGTGGTTCTGAAATTGGAGCAGACATCAGAGGTGTCTGGAGGCTCAGGGCCCCACCTGAGTTCCAGGTGTGGGAATGGACCTTACCCTCAGGTGTGTGGGGAACCTGGAGTTACTTACTGGTGGGAGGACACACTTCGAGGATCCTGTTCCAGCCTAAGAGAGAGCAGATTGGGAGCATTTCATGTGGTTGCAGATTTTAATACATAAGCAATTGTCAACACAAATTCTGGAAGGGGCGCCACTCATGTGACTTATTTATTCCTTTTCAAAGGAGTTGGTGGCGATGGAGGTATTTTGTTCATTTCCCACAATCAGGTGATAAAGACAGCAGATGGGGCAGATGCTTCTGCCCTGCCCACTTCAGGAAACCAAGTCATGTTATCACCAGCGCCAGGCGAGGCTCTCACCCTGCACAGTTATCCTTGGCAGTGCCCGTGGTGTGTAGTCATGGAATCCGCAGCCGCCTTGCCCATGCCCTGTGGAGGGATGTGGCCGGGATCTAAAGGCCAGGGAGCCTTATCCACAGAGCCCGTGTGTGCATTGGCAGCACATCACACCCAGGAGCCCCTCGGCTCCAGCTCCCAGCGCTGGGTCAGAGCTCCACAGGGTGTTCCCTCCCGTTCGGCTGGCATAGCCTGGCTGCTGGCGATGCTTTATCTGCAATTCCTACCCAGTGAGATAAGGTCCTGCCAAGCCACATGAGCTGGATTCTCCTCTCCCGGGTGGGACCTTGGGCTTATCTCATGAACAGCCAGTGTGTGCAGAGATGCAAAGCTGCAAAGCAGAGATGGCAGGGCTGAGCTGGGCCCAGAGAGAAGCCCACGCACAGCTTCAGGGGACCAGGCAGGAGAGGAGCCTGGCCCATTGGCCAGGGCGAAGCCGAGGAAGACGCAGTGCATTGTGGGAGAATTAGCTGTAATCAGGGCCTATGGGACTCTTTTCACTACTTTCTCACTACTTCTTTCCCATCTGGGTTTTTTATTTTTTCCCCTGCAGTTCCAGCCTCTCTCATGCCTGGTTATGAGGAGAGTCTACAGCCCAGACAATGGAACAATCACCTTGTGTTAGGAATGGTGTTCTTTTCAAGATACTCTCAGAGCCTATTTTCCCAGGAATCTCTGTTTATTTGCTCTGGTGTGTTGCTGCTGCCAGGAGGGGAGGCCGTGGGTAGGTTTGTGGAACCGGAAAGGAGCTTGCTCCAGTGGCCACAGCACTGGGCTAAAAAGATAATGCAAAGCTACCCTGGTTTTTCAGGATCAACTCTGGAGGGCCTAGAAAATCCCAGGGCTGCGTGCAAGTCACTGTTTTGTGTTTTGTTTTATTTTGTTCCTTCTACCCCTAAGACCTTGGTGCAAAATCAGCTGGGGGCAGTGGTGCATGCCTGTCATCTCAGCCACTCAGGAGGCTGAGGCAGGAGGCAAGGACAAGCCTAGCTTGGGCGATTTAGCAAGAGCCTGTGTCAAAACACAAAATAAATAAAAGGAGCTAGAGATGTAGCTCAGCAGTAGGGAGTCCTTGGGTTCAATCCTCCATACCACCAAAACCAAAAACTAATAAAAGTAAGGAGGGCAGACAGACAGAGAGACAGAAGCGACGGAGACACAGAGACAGAGGAGGGAAGATAAAAAAAGAAGAGGAAGAGGAGGAGGCAGTAGAAATACAAGAAGGAAAAGAAAGAAAGAAAGAAAGAAAGGAGTCACTCATCCACTGAAGAGTGATGCAAGCCTAGCAACTGTAAAAATTTTCTAAAGGGAGAAGAAGAGGTGGATTCAAAAAGCACAAGACATCTGAACCTGTTGTCCTTGAGTTATCCCTGCGTTTGCTCAAGGTGTCAAGGTGCCATTGGTGCCACTGAAATATGAGACACTAGTCTCCCAGCAGGTGGAAATCACTGCTGACTACAGCTAATTCCTGCTCTGCCTGGAAGCTGCATAGACTATTTACCAGCACCCTGGCCTGAAACCCAGGAAACGGGCCTGTGCACCTGGAAACTAGACTATTATGTGCTTAAGCTTCCTAATCTCTTTCATTATACACAGCAGAGTAGCAACCATCAAATGACTCCTAATAAGGGGAGTGGGATGAAAATGCTTTTCACACCTGGTTTCCAGTGGTTCGCAGGTGTCTTAGCACCGAGCCAGTGGTCCAGCCTCTGCTTCCTGGTCAGAGGCTGCCACCTGTAGCTGGATGTGGGTAAGTGCAGCTCAGCCCCACCGCTGCTCAGCCCCCACCCTGGTCTTCCACACCAACACCGGGGCTTTTCCCAGATCCCATATCATGTAAGAACAATTCTGGGTGCCACAGAATGACTGCTTCTTAGTATCTTTGTTTGTTCTGGAAGCAGCTGAGAAACAAAAAATGAATCTTCCTAAAATAGCTGGGAAAGCTCATACAGGGCCATGCAAAGTCACATGTGGTTCCCTCTTCTGGGCTCAGCGTGCCACTTCCCAATAGAGGGATGTCTGCTCTGAAGCCCATTAGGGTGCCAGGCCCCATGTTTCAGACCCCAGGGTCTCACGGAGCCTGGCCCTGGGCCAGCAGTGCTGACCTCCTTGAGTCTGCGCTGAGCACTTGGACGCCCCTGTACCCCAGGACAGGACAGCCCCGGGTCTCCCTCCACTCCCAGGCAGCTCCTTCTCCCCATTTCCCAGATCCTCCCTGCCCATCTCCTGCTGGGTACACATCTCCCGGCTTCACCCTGTCCAGCATGCCGGGTTCCCTTCCTGGTCCGGCTCTGGGGGGTGTTGTGCAGGCTCCGTGCTGGGTCTGGGCTCCTGGGGAAGCCTGGATCCTCACCCCTACCATCTCTGCATTTCAGTTCCCCACCTGTACACCCACAGGCTGTGCTCATGAGCAAGACTCAAAGGTCCCGCCAGCCCTGACTCTGTGGTGCTGATGTGCACCCAGGGGCCTCCTCTCTTGTCCCCACTGCACACCAGGCGATCCAAGAGCCAGGGCTGGGCTAATGACCCTAGAGTGAGCTCCGGCCCACACCTTCCCTGAGCAGGCGGTTAGTGGACCCAGCAGCCCGCTTGCCATCTCAGGCTAGAAGTGTCCCGGGACTGCCGAGACCTGGAGCAGCCAGCCAAATCCACCGAAGCAGAGAGCACCGTGGCCTCTGAGTTCAGACAAATCACTCTATCATTCTCTCCTTCCCAGAGGCAAAGCCTTTCTTTTGCTGTTTTTATCCACATTTCTAAACATGATTAGAATGCTCCTTGCTCTATTGGTTCTGTTGATTTCCGAACACCTGCACCTCCCTGATGGTTGAAGGTGTTGAGTGAGTGCTTTCCGTTGTTGCCATATCTCCCTAGGGGCAGTGTCTAGTCAATCGTCTGTCCACTTTGTAGTCATCACTCATCTTTTAAAGGTTCTGCCAAGTCCTGTCTGCAGTAGGTTCTGCAGTTGAAAGCAAGTTCTTCTCAGCTTTCTCCATTTCTGGTTTAAAAGTTCATTTTCTAAGGCACTTGTCTCTCGTCCCACCTGCCTTTGAAAGTTGTGCTGCTGTTATCTCCTCTCACTTCCTATTCGAGGGCGTCTATGTCTGTGACCTTCTGTGGGTGGCATACCTCTTAAAATACCCTCCCACTGGGCCAGGGATTTAGCTCAGTGGTTCTGCTGCATGCCTTACAAGTGCACAGACCCGGGTTTGATCCCTGGTACCAAAAATTGTGGACAGAACATGTTTCTTACCGGTAGAATATGGTAAAAGTAATGGCATGTCACTGCTTTGACTACCTTACATGTTTATGACAGGAGCCGGGAGTGCCAGATGTTCCCTGGGGACTTAGTGATATAAGTGGCCAGGCTGGAGAGGCTTGGGCAGGAAACACACATGGGCTAGGTCCGAGGGTCACTTCTAGCCAGTGAAAAGCAGAAGGGCAGAGCTCTCTTTCCTACAACCACAGGGAAGTGAATTCTGCCCACAGCCTAATGGGCTGAAAGTGGATTTTCCTGCAGTTGTATCCTTAATTAAGACACAGCCAAATGGGAACCCCAATTCCAGCGCTAATGGACCTCCAAGCAGACGACCCTGTGAGCTGAGCTCTCTAATCCCTAAACTGTGAGGCAGCAGATATGTGGTAATGAAGCTGCTAAGTTTAAGGCAATTGTTTGAACAATAGAAAACTTACTATCTACAATAGGAATTAAGATGATAAAATAGAAAACATAGTAATAGAAAACGATTACAATACTTCTCTGCTTTTTTGATTTTTTACCGTTTTAGGAGAATTTTTAGGTAAATGTGTGTAATTAGTGATTTAGACAAGCAAGGTACATGGTATGGGATCAAACATTTTGTTTTTTGCCTAATTATCTTTACAAAAGCTATTCGGTGGGAGACTTCCTCATCCCCAGATGTGCTCCAGGACTCCTATGTGCCCAGGTAATGGGGGCATTTTGATAAATTTAAATACTTGAGAATCATGTGATGAGAAGTGACAAGGGATCCAGTATTAAACATTTCTTCTCCAGCTGAGCCGTGCCTTGATCTGACTGTATAACCCGCACTTATTCCTTGCTTGCTTTTCCCCTTAGTTTTCCCACTTTTCTTTCCCACCCCAGAGTCTGAGGTTCTCCACCTCCCCTTCCCCCACCACAGGCACGAGTGAGTCAATGCTTGAGATGGGGCCACCGTCACCTGGTGTCAGGTGAGGTGATATCACGTGATAACTGCTCTAACCCTCAGGATTCCCCCAGTTCTGGTCTCTCGCCTGCAGGTCCCTCAAGCTGGTCACTTGCGACTCCATCCTCACCCCATGCCTGGCATCACATCCAAACTCTGAAGCTGGCTTCCTTCCCCTCTTTGGATGGCTGTCTCCCAGGACCTCGCAGCCCTACGTGGGCTCTCTTGCCCGTCTTACCATGGTCCACAGGAAGCGCACACAAACCCTTGGCCCTGAGAAGCACTGGTGTGCAGCCAATCTGAACACAGAGCCCCAGCCCCATCCAGGCAAGAATCAGACACCAGCAGCCACATATGCCACCTCATGTGCTGTGTTCCATAGAAGGTGATCATGAGGTTCTTTCCCCACGTTGGTGGTGAGGCAAAGCCCCCCTTCTGTCACCAAACAAGGTGGGATGAGGAGGGTTGCAGAGCAGCTGTCTCCTAAGGTTATCTTTCTCATCAAACTCTCTTCTGGTTCTTGGATATGTTCATGAGGTACAGATCTGTCTAAGTGGTCCCAGTTCTTTTCTTCCAACGTCTCACTTGCCATTTCATTTGTGCTGTTCCTTGGTGCTTTGTGGAGATTTGAACTCGAATTCTCTCTACAGGTGCCTGTGTAACCCACTCCCCATGGAAGAATTTCCCCAGAATATCTTTATCTGGTCGAGGCTTTTCATGTTAGAAACTACGGAACACTCTGAACACTGCAGCTTTCAAAACAGTCAGGGGACTGTGCAGCTTGGGTCCTCTAGGCCCTGCAGTGAGGGCTGACGCTGGGTTGGGCTCAGAGTGACAGAAATATGGGAGGGAAATGCTGCTTTTTAGCATCCCCTCACGTGCTGCTCTGCCCCTCACCCTAAAGCAGTTCTGGCTATATATGCAAATCACTTCCAAAAGGCATCTCCAAAAGGTGTGAGGGAGACAATCCAGATGTTGGAGGCACAACCCTGGAAGCTGATAGCCAAACTATCCCTCCATTCCCCTCTCACACAGTTAGAATTCTGGGAATCAGCAATGAACCATGTAACTAATCTCACAGAGATTTCCTAGGATTGTACACTCAAGGTTGTTATGGGGCTGCAGACTTGTGCTAGGATCCCAGTGCTAAAGTAACTCTGATCCTCCTGTACTGGCTTCGCTTTGGTGAATGACTTCACTTTCCTTATCTCTGCCCAAAGTCCACCCGGATACTTCATTTTCTGGGTTGGAGACCATGCAAAAATACACTGTAAACTGTAAAATGCTCCGTTCCACATCAAATCACATTATTGTCCTTCATAAATGGCTACAAAGCTATCAAAATGGAAATTTTTATTTTATCTCGGATCAACTTTCAGGGTGAAGGAATTAAACCCATGAAGAAAAAAAAAAAGCATAAAATCCAACTGGAAAATTTGGAAGGAAAATGCCTTTTCTCTAGGAAATATGCACCGAGAACTTTTTGAAAAGAAAGTCAACGCAGTCACCTAAGGCTAGCTTGTGAAGTCTTCTTATTCCAATCCATGATTGGAAAGGCTGTGTAGACAAGGTCATTTTATGAAAAAGTAAACCACATCTTGTGGTCGTGAGAAGAAGGGACAACTGACAAAATTTCCAACAAAGCCAACTCTTTGCACTTAGGGAGTAATCTCAAGCCACCTTGAAATAAATCTTCCATTGAATTCAAGATAAAGGAGGCAATGATGAAGCCGCTGTGACCACTCTGTTCTGCTCCTTGGTCAGAATATCTCATCTGATAAGAAGCTGACTTTCCTCTCCGACATTTAGCTTTAAATGTCAAGTTGCTCCAAACAGCATTCTTTGGTTTTAGGATCCCTGGCCTTATTCAGTTGATAGAAACTGAGTTAATGTGATGTTGCTGGCAGAATCTCCAGTATGAGAAAGTGTATACTTGCCTGAGGGGGAGAAGGAGGATAAGAATTATTGTCACCATGTTGGAATCAAGCCTGAGGCCAAAATGAAAATCAGCCTAGGGACTTTCTTACAACTGGGGGTACGTTTAAGAGATGGGCAGCCAAGGCATGTTGGGTGGGTGGTCGAAAGGGACAGCATTTCATCGATACCATAGAAACTGGTGTTTGCCAGGCATCACTAGTTGAGATGAAATACTATGATTTTCAGATGTTGCTGGGAAGTGAGACAAAGCAGATGTAGAATCATAGCTTGTTTTCACTGGAAAGGACCTCAGTGGTTTCCTAGATTTTCATTTTACTAACAAGGAACAAATGTCTGGAAAGGTACAGAGATTTATAAAAATCACTCAGGTTGTTCAGTGGCAGAGCTAACAGGACCCAAGGGTTACAGATGAACACATTCTCCAAACCCATGAACTTTATGTGAAATTGAAATAATGTTGGTGGGATTGCTCATTTCCCACCCTTCACAATGATGTCCACATAACCCAATGTGAAGTGGGCCTTGGGCCCTTAAGTACAACTTCAGTGTAACTGGCGATGCCGTGTGTCCTGCTCCCCTCCCACATCCCACCCTTCCCTCCAAGGGAACTGTGACTGTTTGCAGTGTTTAAATATTGGTAGCTGAACAGCCTGGACTCCAGTAACATCCAATATAGAAACGTGGGACCTACGGGGACTGTGGCAGGGTCCTCCATCTTTAGAAGGTGTGGCCCCTTCCTCCTCCAGGACACAGCACATGTCCCCACTGCAAACCACTCAGCAGCAAGGACATGGCTGGGTATCCTAACCATAGTCTTCCACCTGTACCTCGATGGCCCATGCCACAAATGCAGACCGTGTCTTCTAACACAGCTGGGCTGAGATTGCATCATGACACCCCCCGACTTCCCAGAGAACCGACACTGTCATCTTCGAGCACAGTCCAGGCAAACTCGGGACCTGCACTGGGCTGACTCGGTCACACTTCTCACCTGCAATTTCTCAGGCGTGATCACTGAATTTTATGCCTGTCACGTATTCCTTTGCCCTCTTCCCACCTTGGGTAGCACTTGCTTTCACTGCAACTCACCTTTGTCTTTCAACGGTTGGAAGGAGTTTACGTATTTGGGTTTGGCCAATACATCCGAGGGATTTTGCTGCACAAAGGAAAATCATGACATTTGACATGAATAGCATTCTTTTGGTGGCTGAGTTCACTGACTTCTTGATGTCATTAACAAAATTTTATTTCATCCACACGGGCTTTGACTCTCTTTTCAAGAACTTAAGAGTAGTCGCTCCTATATTCCTGTTTCTGCTTCAATCTATCTGCAAATGAATTTGCATTTCTATGTATTTTCACTGTCTAACAAGAAACTAGAAAATGCTTTCATGGGAGTGACTGTCTTTTTTATGTCACGCTGACATTTCTTTGGTTACTACATCTGTCACCAGAGAAACCCATGGCAAAATGAATATTCCCAATAAAAATGATCTCTGTTAGATTGTCCTTTACTATCTGTTAACATTTGACTCTCTTTGTGAATTACCCTTTAGTTATTAGTGTAACAAAAGAGAGCTGAATCATCAAACCATATAAGATGTTTAAAACGAACGTTAAACGTTGACTAGAAAAGAGTTTAAAAGTGTTTAGATACATCCTATTCCACTCATGAATTTGTCCTTAAATTTAGTCATTAATGTAACCTCTCATATTGTTGGACTTAGTGTACCAGGCGCCGTTTAAGGAACCAGGAACCCTGGAAGGAGTAATTTCCAATTCCTGCTTTGGTCTGTCTCATTAGGAAGCTAAATAAAGATGGGAGGAAAAGGTTCTTGTATAAGCAATAGGTAGAGCAGTGAGAGATTCCCAGTTTTCACTGAGATGTACATGTGTCTGCCTCATTTTGCTTCTGGGAAAAAAATATTACAGTATAGGTAAAAATGAAAAAAGGTCTGAAACTTTCAAAGCAAAAGAATCAATTTTCCCAAGTTCAAGATGACTCATGTAATGATACAATCCTAAAGAAATTCTTAAAAGAACATTGCTCTTCAAACTGCATCCTGCCCCTGTAGAGAGAGTAATCTTAGGTTGCAGAACACCCAAGAGCTCTGTGTGCTCTGGGAAGAATCAGCCTTCCCAGACATGTAGAGTCATCTGGATCTAAACTATCAAACCACAGGACCTGAGCTCCCTGTTGGAACTAAGGGGTAGCTCTGTAAATTCAGTCTCTGTTCAGGAATGTCCATAAGAGCCCCTAGGATGGACAGAATTTGGGGAGAAACCACTTTTGGGGTCCACACAGAGTTCTGTGGCTTGAGGGATGGTCTTTGCTGAGAACAATCCTGGCTTCCCTTTGGCCAAACACCATCTATCTGTTCGTGAATCTTTCCAAGAACCCTGGCTCATGACCTTTTGCTACCCCTCAGTGAACTCTGAACCTTGACCTCAGCCTGTGCACGTTGCTCTGTGTCAGCTCGATACGTTGTGTTGAGAGAAGAGACTAATCCCCGTCTTCGGGACAGCCGCTGCCCATCATCCCCGGAGTCCTCCCATGTCTATTTTGCCCTTAGTGTCCCATCCATATGTTTCTAACCTCTGTCTCAGCTGACTCATTGTTCACAACCCATGGCCTTGCTCACATACCAGCAACCTAAGTCTCCTTCACTCCTGGTCCTGTGTCTGGTTCCCCTCTTCACACCCTTCACTAACGAGGGATTTCTTCACATGTTGGTGCCCCTATTCTGTCACCATCCATGAATTGGTTTCTTGCTTTTTCAGGCCAACTTCCTCAGGCAATTAAAAACACACGCGTCTTCTTATGCAAAAATGGATATTTGTTTTAAAGCAAAGGAGTTACTTAGCCAGATAACAAAAATCTCATTTTTATCCCGCAACTTGAAACCAAGCCTGGGTGGGGGGCAGCATAGAAATGAAAGCTAGCAAAGACCTCCCTGACCACTCTGTCTTCTGAAAAAAGTCTGCCACCCCTCCTGAGAAACAGGGGGAAGCACAGCCAAGGATTTTTTTTTTTTTTTTTTGCTTCTGCTGTGATTTCACTTTGGGGTATTGTTTTGTTTCGTTCCTTTTGATTTTTCAAATGAGAAAAATTTTGACTTCCTGCTCTACAGGGTGGAGAGTATCCTGGCTTATTTATTTACCAAAGGCTTTTCTTTTCCGTAACTTCCTCCTTTTCTTAAAGAGTAGATAATGACATGAATTTCACATTTTTAAGTTCAAAAGATTTTAGGGATTGAATGCATAAACTCTCAGAATGTTAGAACTTCTTCACAGCTCAACGCTTACGTTTTTTTTGACTGAGAGAATTGAAACTCAACGAGAGGAAGGAACCTTCCTAAGATCACTCTGCTGCCTGGGCATCATGAAGTTGGAATCCCAGGCTGGTCCACTGGCCCCAGCCTCTACTCCCTCCCTTGCAGCCGTCCTGTCCACTAAGGATGCAGACCAGGAAGATTTCATAGTGCAGAGGACAATTTCCTCATCGGCTCTTATTTCTAAAGCTTATATCGTTGCTGTAAAAGCCTCTAAACGCCCAGATTTGGATGCAGTGAAGTCAGTTGGCTAGTTATCACATACAGAAATCTCTACTTTAGAAGCTCGGTCTTGCTAAAAGACAAAAATCTAAATCGACAGTGAAAACAGAAAACACACATGCAAGTACTTTTGCCTGGAGCTCTGCTATCCTCAAGTGGATGGGAGCTTACTTCTGTGGCAAAAAAAACAACAACAACAACAACAACAACAACAACAAAAACCCAAGCCTGAAATCTCCTCCCATACAGACTTGTCCAAGCATGGGTTGCAGAGTTAAGGGCTAAAGTTGCAAAGGACTAGAGCAAGAGAGAGTTTAAAAGCCTTGATCCCCGGGAGACCCACACACCAGAGGGGCCCCAAACCAGACACCAGGAGAAGAACAGCAACAGGAGCACCGGGACCATGCGTGGAAACAGGCCTGCAGCCAGGCTGCACCCAGAACAGTGCGAAGCTGAATCTTCACGCGTGGCGGCAGGCAGTCATTACCTTCTGTGTTTGCTTCCAACGGCTTAATGGAGACAACTTGCTGATCAGAAGTCGCCGCAGCTGTAAGGACAGCACGGAAATGTGGATGAGCTACCTGTGTGCTCCGGTACATAACGTAAACTGCTGAGACAAAGCTGCAGGTGGAACCTGGTATTCAATGGCACTGTTTCCTAGAAGCGCTGAAGAGACCCCTGGCATAAACGGTTGATAAAAGATTGTTTTCTTAGCCTCTTTACCTATAAACAAAACTGGAGTTAAACAATAATCACTCAGTCTCTAGACCTTGGAAATTGACAGTAATGAGCATTCATGTGAAATGAAGGGTTCCCTGGGCATGGATGTGACACAAGCCAGGCAATTATTTAGTGCCATTAGAGCAGCAAACTGCTTCTGTCTACAGAGGTGTCTGCAATGTGTGACACTTGTGCTAATTACGAAATTTCCTCATCTCCTCTGCAGCTATGACCTTAGTGCTGTTGCTTGTGTCGACGGAATCACTCAAAGCTTGAGCAGAAAAAAATAAAACAAATTTCTTTACATTTTTTTCTATTATATTTTCACTTCAACTGGAAGTCCTTCCTTAGGACTTTTATTTAATGTGAAACACTATTTAACATTGAGTACATGAAAATCTAGAAATAAAGACTAGACATACTTTCGGCATGTTCTAAATAAGTAGATAAAGCAGGTGTGGTGCTACAAGCCTTGAATCCCAGTAAGCTGGGAAGCTGAGGCAGGAGGGTTGCAAATTGAACCACAGCCTGGGCAACTTAGTGACTTAGTGAGTCTCTGTCTCAAAATTAAAAAAAAAAAAAAAAGAAAGAAGGGGTTGGAAATGTAGCTCAGGGTGAAGGCCCTAGGTTCAATCCCCAGTACCACACACACACACAGAAAAAAAACAAACAAACAAAAAAAAAAAACCTAATTATGAGATCAAAGGGGACTTCACCCCTTAGGAAAATGACTTTCCTCTTGAGCCACTGTCAAACCATAATTTAAATCAGGAAAATTAAATGTAAAAAGGACCCCCTATTTCTCTATAGCGTTCACACTGCATGTGCAGGTTGAGCTTGCGTGGGTCTAACAGCAGCGCCATTGAGCTCCTCTGCCTCTGGCTGAAACTGCCTTGGGTAAAAGCAGAGAATTTTACTAAAAAGTGCAACCTGTACTACACGGCAGAGGCCTCAGAACGGAAGGACGAGGCTCTAGAGAGAGGGGAATGTAACACACCTTATTATCCAGGAGTATTCCAAAGCAGAAGATGAAAAAACCCTTTAACAAGAAAAGAAAAAAAAAAAGGAGTCAATCAAATTTATGGTGTTTTCTTTTCCTGAAAAGAAAGTGTCCATACAAGGCATTACCCTGCTGTACCACCCAGCACCGGCCTGGCTTCCGGCTCGGTCTCCCTGTAGGCAGGCGCGCTGTGTGGCGCTGTGTGGCCACAACACAGGGACTCAAAGGCTTTTCTACACAAAATGCATAGGGAAACTGTGCTCCAGAGAGCGACATTTCTAACACACACGGAGCTTCAGTCTCCCCACCGGCTCAACCCAGGCCCCAGACAAATGGCTTCCCTGGGCATCTGCACTGTAGTTGTTCACACAGCAGGTACTTAGGAAGTCTCCTCTCTACTTCTCTGGTGGTGCCAGCACTGGGCCCACCCTGCAGCCCTGTAGAGGGAGCTGTCTTCTTCGGAAACCCTGGTGAGGGCCACCTTCCACCTTGAGCTCCAACTCCCTTCAGGGAGCCTTGTCTGGTGCCTGTTTTGAGGGTTCACCCCACACTCTGATGAGAACTCCTTGACCTGTGCCCAGGACCCAGCCCTGAGCTGTGACTGCTGTCATACATCTCATGTGTATGGATGTGTGCCAATAAAACTTTATTTACCAAAACAGACCACTGGTGGCAGGTGGCCAGCCAATGCTCATCATACTGAAAGAATTTCCTTTGTACCTTTCAGGGTCTCAGTCGTTGTGCCTTTTCAGAGGTCTGCACAAGAGAAATGAGACACAGCCAATTGCAAGAGGGATTGGCCCGAGCTATGCGTGCTCTAGCAGATTTAAAGCCCTCCGGGGGACTCCTGGTGAAGCCCAATAGTCTGCTTCACTATGACATTAAATGTCAGGAAAGACAGATTTTCCCCCCTCCTCACTGGTTCTATGCACTTTTCCTGACAGTCCTGTAGGAGCCGGGGAGAGGTGACATCTCTGGAGTAGTTTCCCACCCCACATTCTCTGACATTCCAGTGACACAACACTGTAAAAAAGCACGCTCCCCGGTCCCACCTGGATCGCATTGAACAGTGCGAAGACAACGTGCCAGGCTGGGTTCTGGCTGTCCACCATGGTTCCGATGCCAAAGCCCCAGGTGAGTCCCAGCAGAGGCGCCAGGACGAGGAGGCTCTTCCCCACGCGGATGATGGTGGCTTTGTCATTCTGGGTCACCCTCTCTCTGATGGCTGGCCTCCAGAGCTTTGAGAGCACTAGCAGCACCGCCACCAGGTTCACAGCCACAATAGTCAGCGCAGGGACAGCAAAAGCTAGGAGAGGTTTGCTCCCATCGGACCAGTTGAGCCAACACACGTCCTTCCTGCTGTAGCTGTTGCTAGGTTGTGTGACCGCAACGGTGATGACGGCTATGACGAGGGGGCACCCATAGCCCAGGCAGAATCCAATGGCCATCATCGAAGGCATGGCCATGTGGTGGAACACGAAGACGATGCGGTAAGACAGCAGGACGCCGAGCACCAGCATCCAAAAGAACAAGGAGAGGTAGAAAAAATGAGTGAAGAAGATGGCGGCTATGCAGACTCCAGAGGGGCCGGCGCTGGTGTCTACGGTGACAGCGACAATGAACCAGACGTCAGCAATCAAGAGGGATAGGGCTACGTTCACCATGCAAATGTGGCGTGTGTGTGAGATCTGGGTGTTCCTGAGCTGTTTCCAAGACAGAGCCTCGACGGTCAGACCTAAGACGAGACTTCCAACGGAGATGGCCAGGCCCACGTAGGTGACCCATCTCACCGCAGGGACAATCACAGCAGGGACAGAAGGTGACATCAGCACGGAGAAGGAGGTGAGGTGAGTGCAGCGACACAGCACTGTGTCCGGAGTCTCATTCACCAGGTGGCAGCCGGCGCTGCTCCAGCGCGAATGACTGAAACTCCAAAACACACAGTGGGGCCGGCTCAGGTTTGTGTCGATCTTGGAGAAGCCCACGAAGATTTCATTTATGGAATAGTTTTGGACAGCTGTGGATATCAAGGGCCCGTTAACCCGAGCATTGTCGCCCTGGGTCTTGGGTAGGATGTACCCGAAGGTCACGGAAGCCATGCTGACGATAGTTTTTGGAGCGGAGACCTGGAATTGGTCTGGCCTAATAAAAACATGGCCTCTGACGGGAAGGGGGTGATCTTCTTGGAACATCTCAATCTGGTAGCTGTAACTGCGATTGCCTTGGGTTTGGGTCCATGGAATCCCTTGCCAGTTAATAAATTCCAGGGAGAAATTCAGAGGCAGAGCAGAGGGAGGCACTAGCAGGGCGATGTTTTCCAGCGTCTGGAGTAACTGGGAGCTGGCCTGTTCTTCCTCTTGCAGTAATATCGTCCAGTTCGTTATGGATGAGGAATTTAGGATGTGGTCAGCTATGCTGATGACATCCTGAAACACAACAGTGGGAGTCAGTTTGTTTTCAGGGAAAGGGTACAGGATGAAAAGAGGAGAAGTCGTTTGTAGCAAGTGTGGAGAAAGTGCTCAGAAAATTGGCTCCATCGAGGAAACCCAGTGAAACTCATCGACTAACATCACTTCTGTTCCACTGAAGAAGCTTGGAGCTAAGAACTCGGGGCCCAGGGATTGCCCAAGGCATTCAGAATCATCGTGGGGTTTCGCCACCGACAGATAAGCACCCTTCCATGCGTGTGTGCACACTTCCTTCTGCCTGAGACCACAAAGTGAACAAGCGACCAAGCATTCATGCTCTGATGAAGGCTCAGAGATGAAGACCTTACTTTCAACAGCTTTTTCATTGTGTGTTCCTTCCTTCACATCCAAAGTCATAAAGACTTGTCATGGATGTTCAAGGTTGAACTCGTGTTTTCTGTTTGCTTCTGTAAGACAGGAGACTGTAGAAGAACAACCCCTAACAACTAGACCTAGAATGAAAGGGGAAGCAGTCTTCAGTCTGGCCTGCAGATCCCTTTCCTAAGCTACCACTTTCTGCCCCAGACTGGGCAGTTGTTTGTGACTGTGGGCCCTTCCTGGCCCTCGCCTGGCCTCTGACTTCCTGTCTCATCCCTCCACCCCCAAAACCTCTGTTTTCTTGTGCTCCATGTTTGCTGCCCTAGGTTCACTTCTCATTTCGTATCTTTCCTTGTGCTTTTCACTTTAGTCAGTTTCTTGTAAGCAGCATGCGAAAAATGAACCTTAACATCTTTTTTTAAATTCAGCGTTAATGTCATCTTTGACGTACTGTTCACCCTGAGTAGTAAAGTAGCAACATATAATCGTGGAATTTATATTGCAAAGTCCAGTGTTGTCAAATATTAGGACTTTAAAATATAAAATGCGCCCTTCCAGACCATTGGGAAGGCCCTCAAGGGAGCAGGCACTGTCCCTGTCCCGAGGACACACCTGGGTATGGGTGTCAGCTGTTCTAGGATGGTGGGATTACAGGTCTCTTACTTTTCTGTTTATTTGCATTTCTAATAGTGACTATATATCGCTGGTGTCGTGTTTAAGTTAATTTTTAAACATCCAAACTAATCCAAGAACTCCCAGTTGAAAGAAGAGAGGTTTTGGCCCAGCTTTTGGGAGGCTGAGGCAGAATGATCACTGCAGGTTCAAGCCCACCCTGGGCTACCGAGTGTCTTCAAGGCCAGCCTGAACTGCACAGTGAGACTCTGTCTCAAAAAATAAAAAGAGGGAAGTTTGGGGGTACACACCGCTAAGGTAGAGCTCATGGCTGCAGAAGGGAACGAACGCAGACAGCAAGCAGGAATTGAAATGTTGGGGTTCCGAAGCTCACCCCTCCTCCCAGCTGCCCAGAGCAGCTTCCTCTCCTTGTGCACCCACACTATAGAGCCCATGGCCCCTTGCAGCCTGCAGATGAAGCAACATGGCCAACAGGAGGATGCTCCTTTGTCTTTTCCAAGACTCCGCATCGGCTGGGTTCCATTCCCCTTCTGAGAAGCACCATTCACAGTGAGCCTCACCAGCCCCAAGGCCTTACCTCCAGGGTCGAATCTGACACTGAGAAACCCTTCTCCAGGGACAGGGCGGAGACTGAGCTCAGAAGTGACACCACGGAAGCCAGGTTCCCTGCTGTGATGGACTGGCTCTGCTGCAGGATGCCCGAGAGCTCTCGCACCAAGGCCGACACATCCGCCTGGGTGGCGTTGCCTGCAATCGCACTGAAGTTCTAGAAATAAAGGCGGTTACGTTTTAGAAAACAGAAGCACAGTGTTTGTGTTTGGTCAGCCTGGGAGCGGATGTCTCGGCCAGCATTTGCATGTTTGTGGGACCGACAAGTGCAGTGATGACAGCAGGGGCTGTGATTTGGCATTCGCCTGGCCAAAACTGGGCTAAGTGTATTACCCGGAGTCCTTGGTTTAATCCCTTAAGTACAGTGGAGGGAGGTGCTGATTATTGTCATTGGTAGCTAAGGAAGCTGGAACTGGAAAAAATTTGTTTAAAAACACTTTCATTTAAGTCATCATCCTAATGATCCCGATAGGGCATCACTTGGGAGGTCTGGGGACCTTCCCGAGTGCCGAGCGAAGTGTCCCAGTACTCAGGCCTTGCTGAGAGAACCAGCATGGTGGCCACAGCACGCGGCGGGGACCCGGGGACTGTTAGATCGACACCTTTTCTCACAGAGGGGCCCTGGGCTCCTTGTCCACAGCGGGAGGCTGGGAAACGGTGGCCCTCAGACCCACTGAAGCTTTGTCATTCTGCACAGTGCCCTGCCTGGCCAGCCCTGTCCCGGCTCCCGTGTGAGCAGCCCCTCCCTTGCCCTCGCTTGAATCTTCAACACCTGGGCCCCCGGGGGGTCGGAAGGCAGCTCAGCTGCTGTCCCACCCACGTGTCGCAAGCCTCAGGTCGGCTCCCTCTTCAGCAGCACCCTCCCAAACAGAGCCCTCCACCTGGACGCTGTCAGCTCCCCAGCTGCCCCTGCCAGTCCTGCCCACCCTCCCGGCCCACTGGAAAAATGCGTCACCTGCAGCAGCTCCTGCAGCTGGGAGAGCACACAGGACTCCTGCACCACCTGCCACCCCGAGGACCGGCACCGGGCTGTGACATTTCCAGCGTAGCCGCGGCCGCAGGGCAGGGTGAACTCGCTGTCCTCAGCCCCAAAGCCAAAGGCCACACTGTGACACGAGGCTGGAAGAGATCGGAAACAGGGAAGGCCAAGTGATGCCATAACTGGACCATTAGGATGATGATTTATTTGAAAGAGTTTTTAAGTCTTTTCCAGCTCGTTTCCTTAGCTACCAATGACAATAATCATAGCACCCAGGAGATCCCAGCCCCTGCATGAACCCTGTCCTAGCGGGTGGATGCTTTAGAAGTCATAGACAATGAGCCATTCCCACTTGCCACTAAAGACTTAACAACATCAGCAGCTGACACTGACTTTTATTGTGGTGGAGGGACAGCTGCCTGTTTCCACTGAAAGTCAGTTTGACAGCACTTCTCTCCCGAAGCACCTCCCCTCTATTCCTGAAGACAGGAGCAGCGGCAAGCTACTAACTGCAGGGTTCCCTAGTCGATCTGAGGGTGGGACCCGGGGTTACCTTTCGAGAACACCCTGAAAGAGCCAGCTTCCAGGGGGAACAGTTTGCTGAGCGCCGCCTGGGCTGCAGCAGACTCCTGCTGAAGGGCAGCCAGCAGCTGGGAAGTGCTGCTGGAGCCGATGACTTCAAAACCCACGATGATGCTGCCGGCTCTGCAGGGAGGATGTGGACAGAAGGTGAACCCGCTTTCTGGCCCTGAGAGCACCTGAGATCAGGTCTGTATGTGCATGGCATCCAGTCCAAAGGAACAAACCAAATCTGGGACCCAAGGTTGTCAGTGAAGCTTCTCTGTGTGAGAGGTTTTTAAACCCAGGGCACGAATGGTGTGAAGAACAGGCCCAGTTCTGAAAAGAATATCGGTCTAACATTCCAGCACATGCAAATGTCCTGGGGTAGGGGGTTGTGAGTCTAATTTAAAGAGAGGCTTGAACCATCACTCAATGAGCAAGCAAGAAAGAGGCAGGAGGTAACAATGGAGAAGCAGCCAGGAACCAGATCACATAGGTACTTAGTGTTTGAGTCTCCTTCTTAACAATTTTATTCTTTATTGAAAGGCAACAGCAGGATCATGCTTACTCTCCCGTTCATCACTCAGGAAATAAACTGACAGGAGGCAGATGTGAAAGCAGGAAGACCAGTCAGGAAGGAGTGGAGTGGCTTGAACTAGTTGGGTAGCAGTGCATGTATGAGAAGCTGTTAAACCTGTGCTATACATGAGAAAAGAGCCATCACAATTGTGTGGGAAGCAGGTTGGGTACGAGACAAAGAAACTAGTCAGGATAACTTCGGGGCCTAGAAGCACAAATCTGAGTGTGTCGTCCAATGGAATATTACTGGGCAGTCAAAAGGAGCAGACCATGGGCACAGTACTCTGGCAACCACAGATCCGTGTCAGAGATTTCGTGCTGAGTTAAGAGGCGCTGGGTTACAAAGCCCACGCCGCGGGACTGCATTTGCAGGAATTCTAACCTATGGTGGCCCAGCCAGGCCAGGGGGTGTGGCGGACCACAGCAGGTGTGCATGAGATTCGCTAGGAAGGAGCCCGGCACGCGGGTGATGCGAGTGTCCTGCCTCGGCCAGAGCAGGCTCAGCCAGGGCCCGAGGGTGTAGCACAGCACTGCATGGAAATCTAAACACAAAGAGAGGCTGGAGACGGCCCTGGAACAGCAACAGGACAGAGGGGAGGTGGTGGGGAGGGCGGGATGGGTTGGAATGGAGCATCCGGGTGGCCACACCGGAAGCCAAGTGCAGGGTTCAAGCTGGCAGCTGGGTAGCGGCTCTGGCACTCGGGGAAGAGGCCATGCTCAGGGGAAGGGCCAGCAGCCCTCAGGGGGAAAACAAGGGGACGGGGGGGTTGGGGGGGGGGGGGGGAGGGTTTGGAATGGAGCATCCGGGTGGCCACACCGGAAGCCAAGTGCAGGGTTCAAGCTGGCAGCTGGGTAGCGGCTCTGGCACTCGGGGAAGAGGCCATGCTCAGGGGAAGGGCCAGCAGCCCTCAGGGGGAGCCGGAGCATAAAGAACAAGCGAGTTTCCGTGTTGTCCAGCAAGTCAGTCCTGCAGTTACCCCATGATGTCACCACTGCCTCGTCTCCACCTTAGAGAAAAGGGAAATGAGACCCAAGGAGCAGCGGGGCCAGGAAATTGCCCGCTACTAACTCACAGGGCAGAGCCCAGACTCCAAGGCTCAAGCTCTCGGCCCCCCGTTGAACCTCGGCTCACAAACCCTTTGTGCAGGGACGGTGCCTGCGCCTGCACACCTGTAAGGCCCTTCCGTTTACTCACAAAGTCCTTTCCTGCCTGTCTGCACGTTTGACTTAATGAGGAATAGTCCGGCTCCACAGCTGTTTGCTGTCCCATTGGGCAGAGAAGTCAACTGGGACAGTAAGACAATGAGATGGGTTTTAAACCATGCACGTAAGGGTGAAAGCTTAATGAATTGTCTTTCCAGCCTTATGCCTACTTTGACTGTGTGTGCACAGATTACTGGAGACAGCTTTATAAGATATAGATGATAAACTGTAAGTTGGAAATATAAATAGAAGACCAAGGCCAGGGAAAAGAAAAATATGAGTATTAGACATAAAAATTAATGTGAGTGCCAATTTTGTCTAGGAGATTTTATAACAAAGCCATTCAGGGGAATATGATCGATTTACATATACTGAATATAAGAAAACAGCATTTTCCTAGCACTGAATTTTGAAGAAAACCATTCCTGTGGGACTTTAGAGAAGAGACACACAGGAGGTGAGTAAAGGACAGGGCCCAGGACAACATATTTATAGCGAATGCTATTGAAATTTTCCTGTGGCTGGTTTTAACTGTGAGTAATAACAATAAAAATAATAATGACGATGAGTCAAGTTCTCCGGCCTCTGACCTACTTCCTCCATCAAGCCAACTACGAATACTGCAATCAGTGCACACATGGTTAACCAACCAAGTAATTTCTGGAATGAAAATAAAAACTAAAGAATAATTTACTAAATAACTCTTTATTTGCTGTAGATGATGACTACTGAGTGTGGAACCGCAGTAGATGCATGAGATCTACACAAAAATGTAATAATTCACCCCAGGCCCCCCTTCTGGCTTCAAATCACACAACATCGCGTGCTCTGTGGCTGTGATGGAAAAGCGTCTACACCCCAGCCACGTCTCGCCCTTCCTCACACAGCCACACCGTCATTGCCTGCTGCCTTCCAAGGTTCTGCCTTTGCAGATCCTGTCTCTATCCACAGCTTTGAGGATGTTCTTCACTCTCTAAGCTCTAAAACTCATTTCAACAAGAATGCAGGCTTCTCGGGCTTGGGATTTAGCTCAGTGGTTCCACTGCAAGCACAAGGACCCAAGTCTGATCCCTGGTACCCGCCCCCCGCAAATTATGGAACAAGCCGGGCTTCTTGTCTTCATTCTTTTAAAGCATCACAGTTAGTAAGGATCCTACAACAAAGACTAAACTACCCTGTTTTCCGCCAAGGTCACCTGGGATCATGCTCAGAATTCTGCAGGGCACAATTCTGGAGATGACCTTCAAAGGCCACTGGGCTACTTACCGAAACTGAGTGACATGAACTGACTCAAAATCCTGAATTCTTTTGTATACTTCTTCGAGCTTAGGAAGAAAACAAAAGACCGTGTGTTAATCTTTGTTCTCACACTTCAGAAAGACATTTTAAAAAAAGATGAAAGAGGACAATAGCTAAATTAACCATAGCAAACAGGCAAAGGAAAGCAACACTGCTAGAAGTAGTCGCAAGCCATATAATTGCAGCTAAAATAACAACTGAGAAGGTGCACATATGTTTGCATGCACACATATAGCAAGTTTGGTTTTGAGTTGGCTAGTAAAGAGTGAATAGCAACAGCTTAGAATAGAGGATATATTTGGTACCAGGTAGAGCAATAAATTCACTCCAGTCTACTTTCTTCCTACCCAAACCACTCCGTTAGTTTTGACAACCACACCCACACCATCATCCTGGCAGAGGTTTCATTGATCCAGGGCTCCCGTGAGCCTCCAGCCTCTAGCCAGGAAAACTTCATGGAACAGATCCAAAATGCTGAATGTGAAGTATAAGCCGCGAAACGTTTTCTTGGCAGAGAAAAATCAGAAAATAACCCAGTCCTCAATATAACAGTCAGTACAAGAGCAAAACCAAACACAAAGGAAATGGAAAGTCAGCTTCTCTGTAGAAGTTACTGAGAATAAAAATAGTTAAGAAGTTGTATTATGTATCCATGCTGAGGGCTGGGGATTTAGCTCAGTGGTTCCACCACCTGCCTCACAAGCACAAGGACCTGAGTTCGATCCCCGGTACCAAAAAAAATTTAAAAAAGGATCCGTGCTGAACTGGAAACATCAGAACCCATGTCTGGCCAGTGATTCCCTATGTAAGAAATAGAAACCTCTTACTTGTTTTTCACTTTTAGATGCGTATTGAGAGTATTTAGCAGAAGATGGATTCAAAAGTTCATTTGTAAATGTTTCCTTAATCTTGAAAGTGCCCCAGACCTCTATGGGAGACAGAAAGAAGTTTTGAGATGAAATACTGTTTGAACATGATTTTTATTAGCAGCATAAAACGCAGAGAAGTTTAATTCAGTGCCCAGCTATATGACAGTGGTATTTCCACTTTCTTCATAATAAATATTCATCTGGAATAGTGCAGGATGCACATAGCCAGCCAGAGTTTTCAGCTGGGGATTTGCAACAGTGGCAGAGAGCGCTGATAACCAAGATCAACTTCCAAGTACAGAAACACGCACGGCCACGCGGTGCAGACAAAAGGCAGTGACTGTGAACACGCAGCTCACCGGGGCATGGAGTTTAAGCACCGCCTCTCTGACTTGCTGCCTCCAACAAGCTCCTTGCTGACCTGCCCAGCGCCAGGGCCCTCTGTGCGGGGAAGGGGCCCCTTTGTCTCCTTCTTTGGGGATCTGGTCCACTGTCACTCCTGTCAGCCCCTCTCTGGTCTCCAGACGCAGTCTTGCCTGCTTCGTGTCTCCTGTACTTTCCTCCTACCTCCCTACAGCCTCTTCTGCCTAAACGTCCATCTGTGCGGGTGTGGCCGGCGCAGTGTCAGCGTCACCCCCGTCTGACCCTGCTTTCTATCTTTTCCAGATGGACCAGGCATGAGCCATCTTTGTAAAGAAAGCCTTTCCTTTATACTTGTTGGAGAAATGGAAAGAAATGCTTTCTTTCTCGTATTACAGCCCGCCCTGTGCAGCAAGCCTGGGAACTCATAGATGAGAACCATAAAAATGGTTCCTTGTGTCCTCCTAGAATGGAGCCCGGCGCTGGGCATAGAGACAGTGAACACATATGTTGCCATGCCCTGAATGGCTTCAAGGAAGGGGAGCCAGGGACGCCGGTGGGCTGGCCTATGCCAAGCTCCCCCTTGCCTTCCTCGGCTCCACTGACATCCGCGGCTTCCAGAAACCTAGGGTTCCCTTCACAAAAGCCTTGCAAAGTCCCGGAAGCCCTGGCGTCAGTGTCATTAGCCAACCTCAAGGTTCACGGGGCACAAACCTAAGTGACCAGTAGCTCCCTCCGCTGCCTCTGGTTTCCTCGGCTGGAACTTTAACAGCCGCCCTCGTCGTCTTCACTTCTCAGTGGTGCCCCAGTGCCGTACAAGCCGTCACCTGAGAGCGGCTCTCCCAGTGTCGTCGGAGCACAGCCCCCGCCCCGAATTCACACCTCCCGCACTGACCTCGGCCATGAGTGACAAGAGGGCGACAGCAGGAGGAAGGGTGTTGCTAACGCAAGCGCCCCCTGCCTGGGGTTTGGCACCGTCTAATTGCTGAGCTGGGCTGGGGTCTCCAGAATTTGCGATGACACCTGAACGCCCGTTGCCTTTCTGGGTCTTCTGTGCATGCGAAGCCCATGCTGGGTCTACGCAGGCCTAAAGGGAGCGTGATCACCACCCTGCACCTGCCTTGTGGGCATCAGCCTCCCCTCTGGGGGCCGAGGGCCGAGGAAATCTCTCTGTGGCCCGATGGGGTGAGGATGCCCCAGCCGGGGCCCGCCTAGGACCCTCTCTGCTTACTCGCTCTCTCACAGAAGCTGACGCTCTGGCTGAGGTTACTGGGACCACAGTCGCAGCTTGGGCGGGATCCAGTCGCGTTCAGGTGACAGTGCTGGGGGTCCAGGCAGGAGGCGGGGAACCAGGTGTAGGTGTCCTCACAGGCACAGCGCACGGCCCCATCCTGACTGCGGCAGTCTGCACAGAGACCAAACCTGCTCTCACGGAGCCCGGCCCTAAGCCGATCCCACAGAGGAGCTCCGTCCTAGGCCCTGGCTCAAAACCTGAACCTCACATTTCTCACCAAGAACTGGAAGTATGGGGACCAGGGATTTAGCTCAGTGGTGACACCGCCTGCCTCACAAGCACAAGGTGCCGAGTTCGATCCCCAGTACCAAAAACAACAAACAAACAAACAAATGACTTAGAAATATGAGTTGGGACACAAAACTAAACAGCCAGGCTTAGCACACAGGTAGGACACGTGTCCCCAAGGTGACACTGCAGTTGGAGAGAGGGGCAGAGGGTCTTCCCAGCTCTGGACCTGTTCAAAGCATCCTGGAGGACATTGGCCACCATCTTCCTGGAGTCTCCCGTCTACCCTCTAAGATAGACCCTAAACACAAACAAGATGACAGAGGCGTGGAAATCTTTGGGGGTTCCCGGCATGATAAGGAGCTCTGTGAATCATCTTGTGTGTTCATTCTTTTACACTGGACCTGAAATTCCCACAGGAAGTCATGGCTTTTGGAGGGCAAAGCAACAGGGCTAAGTCACCAGATGTCTATTGCATTTGGTAGGGGGTCTGGTCATCAGCCTGGGACACGGTGACTACCACAGACGCAGCCCCTCTGCCCTCGGCAATGGACAAGCATCAGGGAGGGGAAACAAAACTTTAGTTTGTTTTGCAGTGCTGGGATGGGACTCAGGGACTCTGACCCCTGGGCCCCCGGCCCTTACTCTCTGACGCCACAGTAGTGCAGGGTGATAATTCCCACTGCACTCCCTAAGCACCTCACCAAGAACTGTCCTCCCCACCACACGGGGCCCAGAGCTGACTCACACGTGGTAGCCTTCGCCCCCAGGATCCTCGAGGGCCCTGGAAAGCAGGCCGATGGGGTTGCCAGAGGGAGCTCCAGCAGCCTCCTCCGCAGGAGCTCCTTCTCTGGGGTGTCTCTGTAGGGCACCTGCAGCAGCACCTCGAATTCCTGGGCTGGGCCTGGAGTGAGAAGAACGGTCAGCTGCCCGCTTTGTCGTGGGAAAGATGCTGAGGGGGTCAGGAGCAGCCGTCAGTGGTGCTGGGGGCCAAGCCTCTCTCTGTGCTGCTTGTTACTGCCCTGTGGACGCTGACTGAGCTGTCCGTGCAGTGACACTGCAGGCAGGGCCACCTGCCCCAGCGCATCCCTTTCCTCCCGAATCCCCGGCCAGGGCTCCCAGGGCTCAGTGCTCTGTCCCACCCCGGATGGAGGGAGGAGACGTGTTCTGCAAGAAGCCTCTCCTCTCCTGTAAAAGAAGCTTCCAATAATTCACTGAGATGTGAGAATTTCTGTGAAATACAGAAGCAAAGCTGCACTAAACCCCGCATCTAAACTCCAGCTAATTTGACTTTCTTTTCTCTCCCTAGGAGCAGATCTCCTGTACTTCCAGGCTCTGGTGTTCTCACTCTGCCTTCATAGCCGGGAAAATCCCTACCCTGGGACCTTGCCAGTGCTGGTTTCGGAGCCAGATGGACTGGGTTTGAATCCCGCCTTCTGCTTCGAGCTCTAGGCCTCGGTTTCACTAACTCAAAGGTTTTGTCATGTACTTTAAAGGGCGCCTGCCATGCACTGAGAGTGACAGCCCAATACACGCTTGCTGTATTTTTATTGTCCTCCTTGCTGTCAGGGAAAAGGTGTGCACGACCTTCCCAGCTGCAATACTGACTTCATTTTCCCTGAGCACAGTAGCCTGGCACGGGGAATGTTCCACGGCACCATTAGCACTCAGTGCTTGGGCGAAAGACATCTGTGGGGGTGGGGGGGCCCTGGGACCTAGCGGCCAGGGGTGTGCACCGAGGTTTCTAGGAGGAAATACATTCACAGCCTTGTGTGTTCCTAGCTGTGTTGGTGACATCTTAGGGTAAATGCTGGGAAGGAAAGGAAGTCTACAGGCCCCACAGGGTGGGTTTGGTGCAAGACACGATTGCATCATTTGCTCCTCAAGAATGCCTCGCTCTCAGGAATTGCAGCTATTCCCACCTTGCATATGTGGGGTACAGACTTGCAAAATGCACATCCAGCGGCACAGCTGGTCAGAGGCACTGCTTAGCTAGAGCCCTGCAGCCTCGGCTCCCAGGTCCATCAGCGGAGTCTCACCTGGAGGCCTTGGCTCATTCACCCTGAGTTCTCTTTTTGTTTTCAAGCCTTCATTTCTCTGTGCAAAAGAAAAGATGTTGCTGTGAGGCTTTGGCAAGTTGTACGCCATAGGCCTTTATCTAGATTTCCCAGGTGAACTGAAGGCACAGATCTGAAATCCAGGCCCAGGGCGGTGGGAGTGGGCAGAAAAAGGCAGTCCTGAAGTGCTGTGGGCAGGGAACGAAGGCGGTGAGGAAGTGAGTGTCCCTGGGGGCACAGCTTGCCAGAGGAGGGGACAGCGTGGAGCAAGGCCCAAGGGTGGGGGTTCACAGGGTGCTGGGTTCAAGGACTCCAGAGCAGCTGCGAGGCAGGGAGAGAGCAGGGCAGGGGTCAGAGCCGCAGGGTCAGGTGGTGTGGACCTGCGTAGTCCCCAGAAGGGCTTCTCTATGTATTCGAGGGAGACGGAGGAGGAGATGCTCTCTGATGTGCTGTTTAGCAGCCTCCATCCGGAAGCCACACTGAGAATAAGCAAGCATGAAAGCAAGGACAGCGTGTCAGGGGTCACCGAGGCAGTGCGAGTGCCCAGCAATGTAGACGGGGACCCAGGTTAGGGTTAGGGTTAGCGCGGGGAGGGTTTGGGAACCTGGATGTATTTAGAGATGAAGTAGTGCAGAAATGGTTCAGATACACAGCAGGAGAAGAATCGAGCACAAGGAATTGGAGCTGAGACGAACACACTGACATCTAGAAACTTCCAGCCCACGATCCCGGATGAAAGTGAGCAGAGATCGAGATTAGCTCCCGGGCTGCTGATATCAATCCCAAAGCTTTTCTGCACCCACGTAGAGAATGTGTTGAGCTCCACAGGGCTCCGATGGCTTCGTGGCTCAACCTTCTGAGCGCCGAGAGATGAGGCGACTTATCTAGGTCCCCAGTGAGGCTGGTGACCAACAGACGAGAGCTCAGGACTGAAGAGTTCATCGGGCCACGCAGTCCCTGTCGCCTGGAGAAGGATGGATTCTAAATGTGCCAGGAGAAGAAAGTGGGAACTTGGCCAACTCACCCCCAGGAAGCCAGGGTGTCCCTCAGCAGCGGTGACGGAGAAGCAGACGAGACACAGCACGGTGGCCCTCGTTCTCAGCAGCCCCTGCCTGGCTCCCTGGGCAGCCTGTGGTGCAGGACTGGGCCGGGGCGAGTGAGGCCCCATGGAAGGCTCTGGTGCAGCAAAGTAGAAAGCACAGGGTCGGTGATCTGTCCACCACAGCTGTGACGCCATTTCTTCTGCTGTGTTTTGGGAATAGTACGTTCCCCTGTCTACAAAATTGCTGCGGATCTCTCTGCCAGGCCATCCAGTTTAACGGCACAGAATCCCTTTTAAAATCACAACTTGCTTAGCATTGCAACTGGGTGAGTTTAATACCAGCCCGTTAGGTCTCCCTGAAGTTTCCTCTCATCTTGAGAAATATAAACACTAAAATAGTGAAAGGCTCTAAGAGAATCCATTTTAAGTGTTTAAACATGAAACAATACTAGGCCCAACCAGCAAATTTCCTTCTTTATAGCTGATACAATCAGCAACAAATCATCCCCGAGTTTACAGTTACCTCCCGCAATATGGATGAAACTCAAAATCTAGACACGGTCACCAAATCCATCTCCCTACCCAGATGACGTGGTGTCCGAGAGAAATCACAGTCAGTCAGAACTGTTCTGCCGAACATGTGGCCACCAGCCTCCAGTGGTGCTCTGAGAGTAATTAAAATTAAATTACATTTCCGGTTCGATTCTACCAGCTGCATTAACCATGTTTCTACCACTCAGGGGCCACATGGACTGTGGTGGCTGCCGCACTGAGTAGCTGATCACAGAATGCTTACATTATTGCTAAAACCACGTGGACAGCACTGGGAGAACGAGAGAGAGAATATTTCCCTACAGTCTTTCAACATTTCATCGACACCTCCAAACAGGAAAAGGTTTGAAAAACGTGATTCTCAAACCCAACGCTCCCCCTTGGTCAGCAGCACCAAGTCACTTGGCTTCCCGGTGCGTTCCCAGCTTCCGGCTGGCTCTGCCAAACCTGCCACTGCCCACAGTCCTCTCTCGGGTCTGAGGATGAGACAGGGTAAAGGGCTACGGTTCCTCAGTGCAGACCTTCTTAGAGAAGTGTGGAAAAAGGCTCGGTGAGTCAGATATTTTCTTGGTATATTTGTACACATAACTAATTACATTTATTTGGGGAAATTTGTATGTCTATAAGACCTTGATCATTTCTGATCTTCTTTTCCACCCTTCCCTATGCCTCCTTCCCCCTATTTGGGGAAAGGAAGGATACGTGTTTCAGATCTCAAACGCTCAGGGCAGATGTGACAGTCCCTCTCCTGGGGCGAATGGACACAGCTTCTCACTTACCACTGTGATGATAAATCTTAGTCTTTGCGAATTTACCCAAAATTCCTAATTCTTTTTAAAGTAACAATATACATATGAACAGTATTTTCACCACAATTTCCTAAAGAGTAAAAAGCAAGTTTTTCAATCAATTTCCCCAAATAATTCTTCTAGAAGCAAAGCCAGCTGCCTGGCCACCATTTATGCTGAGGCTGTCACATCCCTGCGCCCACAAACCTGCAGGGCTCCATGCTGGGCACAGACAAAAGTGACTGTGCTATTTTGGTACCACCAATTCCAGCCCTCTGGTGCCCCCTGTGCTGAGCCCCGCTCCTGACCCCTAATCCAGGCAGACAGGCTTCCTCTGAATTGGAGGAGTTCACACATCTCGAGCTCTGATGACAGGGCCAGTGGGCCCTGGGCTGTACCACTTCTGCACCCTGACAGGTATAAAAATGCCTGCCAGGTCTCCCTGACCCCTACCTCTTCTTACTGTTGACAGGCTGTTAAGCAAAGATGCGTTTAAATTTTTCTGTTTGGTTGCTAGTAAAATGAAGCCTTTTTTTGCAGATGCTTACGTCACTATTCTAAGCTTCGTATGGGCATAGTCATCTTTCTCTGAAGAAGTGTGTCTTACTGAGCCAGGGATTTAGCTCAGTGGTTCTGGCTCCTGCTTCATAAGAGCAAGGACCCGAGTTCGATCCCTGGTACAAAAAAAAACAAAAAAAAAAAAACAAAAAGAATTGTGTCTTAGGAGCTCTTCACAGAACCTCGACTGGGTCACATGCTATTCATTTTGGGGATGCTTGAGAGGGTTTTTATTTTCATGGGTAAAAAGAATATGGCCAACGCTTGACTAATAACCTGGTAAACCACAGGATGTGCTTTCATCTATCTGTGTGGTTTCTGTCTCTGCCATGCCCAGCCTGTGGCTTGATGGACTCACCAGGACATCAAGGGGACCTGTGCACCCTTCCTGCCTTGTTTCTGCAGCTCCCTCCTCTGAGAGAGTGGGGTTACTTCGTACATGAGGTTTACATAGGTGGATTTTTATATTAGGAAGGAGAAAAGGAAAAAAAGCCATGTGGTTTTGAGCCTGTCACTCAGGAAACACAGCGAGTTAGGTGGAGTGGCCATGAGGATCGGTGTTTGGATTTTCTAGAGGCTGAGAAGGGGTTAAGCTGGGGAATCCTGGGGTTTATAATGGTGCAGGCAGAGCTTAAAGGAACTCACCCAGAGAGAAATACGCTCTCACACGGGACTCTGGAGATGGCCGCGGCTGCCAATCACTAATTAGTGGTCACTGTGTGGCTGGTGGTTTCTGCAGATGCCCATGAGGCGTCCTCACCACCGTCCCCCTTCCTGGCCACAGGAGACCACAGCCTGGGTCCTCCCTGAGATGAGCTGTGCTGTGGGGTTAGAAAGCCAGCTTTCGGTCTCAGCAGAGCCCCCAAGTGACACACACACACACACACACACACACACCGTCACTTCTGCTCACTGCTTTCCCACCTCCATCCCCGTGTAAGCTTCTTTAGGAAATGAGACCAGCAAGCAGCCCTGGTGACAGCACCCTGCACTCCAACGAGTCACACCTTGGCTATCGCTTACCTTCAGACTCCTCTCCATACGCTGCAGCCCTCTGCGCAGTGCCCTTCAAAGGGGCGCAGGTGGTGGGAGCACAGCTTTGCACACAGGTGTTATGTGGTGTTGGGGCAGCCGCAACACGCACTGAGTCACCATGGCCGGGCATGGGTTGGTGCCTTGGAACACAGCCCAGATCAGGACACACCCCCCTGAGAGGGAAGAGAGATTTTTCCTCCAAGTCTCCCTCCCCTGAGAGCTGCGGAGGGGAAGGAGCCGTGTGCAGGGCTAGAGGGTCCTCCCAGCAGTGGTGGATATGCGCGTCTGAGGTCTCCGGAGAGACACTGCCGGGGAACGCGGAACACCCTGCCCAGGGTGGCGTAGTGTGGTCCTGCCCTGGACACAGTCACACCCCTAGAGCCCTGGAACGCAGCCTCGGCCTGGGGAGGAGGAGTGGGGAGGGGCAGCCCCTTCCCTACTTGCCCCATCCCCGCCCTGGGCTGAGGAAGCCCCCTGTTGCTCTCCTGGATAAGGGGCCCGTGGGTGGGGCAGAAAGAAGGGGGCCCCAGGCAGGTTGCTGGAGATGGGTGTTTCCCGTGGTCTGTTGTCCTTAGAAAGCCTTGAGCTGAACCCCACTGATTTCTTTACTGAATGTTGATTTCCGAAGCCATAGGACCTGGACCCTGTGGAAGGTCAAGTTACACCGTGGGCTGCGTCAGCTTCCAAGTCAATGTTAAACAAGGCAGCAGCTGCAGCTGCTCACAACCCGGTGTAAAATCAGCTAGATAGTAAGTGGCCTTCCTGACAGGGCCCAGCGTGCTCTCATTCTCACCAAGTCACCAGAAAGGAAGGAAGGGAAGGCGTCTCTGAACTCAGACCTCTTACTGTGTGACGTGGCTTCCGGCCAGCGCTCCACATTCTACCAACTAGAGGGGCTCAAGAAGGCACAGAGCAAAATAGTAATAAAGCAAGGTCTGGGTAAACTGTATGAACTATGGGAAGAGGAACTATGAAACCAGAAGAATTTTTTAAAGCCATAGAAAGACCGGGATGCGTGCATATTACGTTTCAAAGGACAAAATTTAACTCTACGGACAAAGCTTCCTAGGAACCAGAGAAGAGGGGAAAGCTAATCAGGGACGTTGTTCTCAGTTTCAGAAAAGAGGAAGCATCCGTTTTCTTAAGAAGGAGCAAAAGAGCTCCGTGGAGCCCTGAATTCTAAGTGCCCGGGCCTAGGGAGTGAGCAGCATTTCCAATGATGTTAGGGTGCATGGTTTCCAGTGAGGTCTGCTAGGGTCCCGCAGACACACTGGGCTACACTGTGCCACTCCAGGGCCCTACATGACCAGGTCTGGGACAGGTGACCCAGGCAGCTGGCCAAGGGCACCAACCCTGGCTTCTTATCCCTTGCCATCCTGGGAGGAACAAAGTGGATGGATCCCATTGTTTAGTGAGGTTCATCCGTAGCTCCTCATGTGCATTTGCTGCTGTTTTGCCTATTTTAGGGTCCACCGATTACAAAGGAAAACCAAAATTTCCCTTCATCTTAATTAGCCAAGAACATTTACGAGTTTAGACACTCTCTCAGTCATTTTTCAAAGTCCCTGGGCTGGAGACGCTGCCCTTGGAGTTGGGTGCCTCCCTTTTCTGACTGTCTGTGTCTGTGGGGATGTGCTTATAAAACAGGGCTGAGCCTGCCAGGCGTGGTGGTGCCCACCTGTAAATCCCAGCATTCAGGAGGCTGAGGCAGAAGGGTGGCCGTGAGTTCAGTAAATCCCAGCATTCAGGAGGCTGAGGCAGAAGGGTGGCCGTGAGTTCAAACCTGGGCTAAATAGTGAGCTCAAGGCTGGTCTGAACTACTTAAAGAGATCCTGCCTCAAAAAGCCAACAGAGAAGCAGAGCTGAGGATCCACTACTCATCTGGGCAGGGGTAGGGGAGAGAAGAGGAAGCAGTAGACAGGCACAAGAGATGCCTGGTATGGAGCTGGGCATGAGAAGGGCCAGAAGCTCAGATGTAAACCATGTTTCTTACCTTCTGCTCTTCTTGTCAATGAAACCCAGCAGGTCCCAGGAGCTGGGATTTGTCCCTCAGACCTGAAGGGAGACCTGCAGTTTGTTACTAGTCCAAAACATCTTAGCAGTGACTAGAAAATAAAAGAAATGGCAGGCATCAGTGATGCCAGGAGTACATTGGCTTGGAGGAAAATCTGAATCTAATCACATGAATGCGTGCCTTCCCATATTTAACAGAAGAAGGTTACTGTGCGTCCAATATTTAGGTTGTTTCATGAATGTCTTGAAGCTGGTGACTCACCAGTAAACCACCATAATCCCTTCTAGTTTCCTGCTAGGATCTACTAACGAGCAAGTGCTGAATTTCTCAGTACTTCCTGGTGAGGCTGGAGAGCCACCTGACCCATGCACCTGCAAAGCACCGAGGGACAAAGGAAGGCATAGGGCTGAGCCTCTGTGGCTTTGGGTCCTGTCCTTACAGAATGACCCAAAGCCTAGCTGACCTCCTGCTGGAGCAAATCTGAGCAAAGGCTGCCTCTCCAATCTGATTGTAATGCTTCATCTGCTACCAAAATGTCACACACGAGCCTGTGAGGCAGAAACAAGGCATTCACTGGGCACACAGAGCCAGGCAACAAAAGTGTCCTGGTCCGTCTGGTCCACTGAAGTCCTCTTTCTCGGGTGAGCTGGGCCTCAGCCACTCCGAACTGCACAGAGGCAGAAGAGCGAGAAGGAAAACCCGGGGCTGAGGAAGAGCTCCGGCCTCCTTCCTTCATCTGCCCATTGTGCTGGTTCTGGGAACAGTCTGATGGCCCAGTTTCCCAGCAAAAGGGCAAGGTCACTGGAACAGACAGCCACAAGCCTGAGCCCTGGGGAAAAGGAAATGGCAAACAGAATCCTGTTATTGAAAGGAATTCTCTAAAGGACAGCATCAACATAATTTCCCTGAGTGCTGACACTCAGTCAGCTGACACCATCTCCATTAGTAGGTCACAGGTGGACCTGGGAAAGGCACGAACCCCAGAGGACACCCCAGTGGTACGTCCATTCGTCAGAGGGCTGGCTACCCCCGAGCTGGCTCTCAGAGGCACCCACCCCGGGGCTGTGGACGCCAATGGAACACGCGAGTGGACACAAGACTGTGAAAGGTTCAGCACTTTCCGAGGCTCCGTCATAATTTCAAAAGGTTGGAGAACTGTGAAAAATATTTCAGTATGATTCCTTTAAAAACAAAAACCTGAAGAGTAGAGGGGAATGAGTCGGATATCCAATGTAAATTATAGTGAGGTTTTCCTGGTGAGTACACTAAGACTTCCACAGAGCTGGAGAAGGCTCTGGACTCTCACCATGAGCATTTACAGAGGGGGCGGTGGGGAACACTGGAGGAGACGCCTTGGTTGGTGTGATTCAGGAGACACTTGCTTTTGAGGGATAGGCGTTGTATAATCATTGTATTGTTACTGCACACTAAAACAAACAAAGGAAGGGTTCACAGAGCTGGAAAAACTGCACCATATCATCTGGGTGACAGGGACAGCTGCGTGGAAGACAAGGAGGAGATGAGCCTGGCACCTGGATCTGCCAGTGTGCTGAGCACCTGCTGAGTGCTGGGCACTGTCCTTCCTGAGCAGGGTCCACGAGAGTGCTTGTCCCCTCCACAGCCCCGGGAGGTCACAGATGAGGAAGTCAGGGCAAAGAGCAAGCGAGTAAGTAAACAGCAAGCCAGGAAGCAGCCCATCCTGGCTGCAAAGTCTGCTTTGCTAACTTCTTCTCAGCTGCTTCTAAACGGTGACAAGAAAACCCCACACTAAATAATCCCCCAAATGGTGCAGACAAAACCAGCTGTTGTGAGATGCAGCACTCTCGCCATCTGGACCTGCCACTGCACACTGAAGCCACTGAAGTCCGGTAGAACCCACCATTCCATTTCACACAATGAGGAAGCTTCCAGGGCCACTGAATTCCAGCCCTGAGTAAACCTGGCAGAGCCGGACAGGGCGCCGCCTGCTGCCTTGATGGTTTCAGAATGTGTAGGGTCCAGATGTGATTGATAACAGAACAGAAAGTGTGTGCTATAAAACACGTGAAGGCTTTCCCTCGTGCCACCTGACCCTCCCGAGGGTCTGGAGACCAGCAGGTCTTTGAGCACCTGCGCGGTAAGCGGCTAAAACCCCCAGCCATCACTCAGCACAGGCAGAGAGCCTTTCTGCGGGTCACAGGTGTTGCAGGACAAATAAGTCAGGCTCCATCCGTGGCACCTTTCTGCGCTCTGGCTGTGCTCTCCTTCCTCATGACAGCCACCTGACAACCGCGTGGCCTGCGATGAGGCCGTTCTTACTTACGCCTCTCACTTGGCCTCGAAGCTTGAGCTGAGCGCTGTACTGCTGGTCGTCCCTTGAGCAAAGGGCGACATCTAGTGGACCTAAATCACAGTGTAGGAGAGGCTGCCAGGCTGCCCTGAGACTTGAGGTGGGCTGGGAGCGGGAGCCGTCCAACCAAAGAACCAGGTAGCCTCTAACCTCAGCCACCCATCTGGGTCTTCAGACTAGGGGCCTATTTGGAGCAGAGTTTGTTCACGCGCCCACTTATTCACTCAACACACACTGATATTAGATGTCTACTGGGCCAGGGCCTTGAAGTCTGTGAGTATTCCTTCAGGGCTCCTATAGTCCCGTGGGGACCCAGGCCAGCACGACTGGTGAGAATGCACTGTGTTAAGAGCTGCACACACCGTGCTGCAGCAGGCCCGGAAGAGGCACATAAATGAATCTTGGAGTAAGAGGAAGGCGTGTCTAAACCATAGGTCTTGCACGGGCACCCACATCTGGACTGCAGATGTGTTTTGTTTGGACTGTGCAGCTCTTTCAAAACCTTGCAATAGTTGCCAGTGTTTAAACATCTGGGGATTTGGCCTGAAAATTCAGATTTCAGCTTCCTTTGGAAAGTAGGAGGACCTGACCACACTAGGTGACATTCAGTCTGCCCTGGGGGAAAACATCTTTCCTAATACTTCCTCATAACAGCTAATAATCTATTTCAGTGACATTGTGGTAAATTTCACATGAATAGGGTACAGAACTCAAAATCACAATAGCACAGTCATTG